TCACAGAGGTTTGTTGACAATAGAATAGGTTTTAAGGCAATTTCAGCTCTAGATATTTATTTGCAACTTGTATCCAAAATTAAACAAATGTTGTGTTTTCAGAAATCCATCTTCAGTTCTCCACCTGTAGACAGTTTTATCAGTTTATCGTGTAACATTCTTGTTAAATTTTTAAGTGATCTTTTTTTTGTGTGTGTGTGAGGAAGATCAGCCCTGAGCTAACATCCATGCTGAATCCTCCTCTTTTTTGCTGAGGAAGGCTGGCTCTGAGCTAACATCTATAGCCAATCCTCCTCCTTTTTGTTTTTTTCCCCAAAGCCCCAGTAGATAGTTGTATGTCATAGTTGCACATCCTTCTAGTTGCTGTATGTGGGACGCCGCCTCAGCATGGCCGGAGAAGCGGTGCATTGGTGCACGCCCGGGATCCGAACCCAGCCCGCCAGTAGCGGGGTGCGCACACTTAACCGCTAAGCCACGGGGCCGGCCCTTAAGTGATCTTTTGATGGAAATTTAAATTACCTTTTGATGAAAGAAATGGATTCTGGATCTTACATACTTTTCACTCTTGGATTATAGTTGGTAAACCAACCTTAAAATATCACAGGTTGTAACATGTTCCTACCTGAACAACAGATATGAGGCTCATGCCATGTGCCACTTACCAGGTGAATTCAACAAAACCTGAATGGGTCCATACCTTGTTAAATAATTGATGTCAATGCCCTTTTCCACAGAAAAATCACTTGATAATACCTGAAAGTACATGCTAAGCTACTTAAGTATTGTTATATAAGATTATTAAATAAATAGTTACAGTAAAAAAAGTCGATGTTGAATTGCTATAGAAATTACTAAACTCTTATCTTTAATTTCTGAAATTATATTGTTGGGACTGGGAACAGTTCCAGGAGTGGCACTAGTTTGTAAATCACCTTTTGAAAAGCACTGTTCTGGTAGGGTATCTATATTCAAGTTTGAATCTCAGACTCCAAACTCCAGGTTTGGTCTAGTTCAAGGGAAATACAGCAGCACGTCACCTCCCTCGTTTTAGATACTTTATTTCTACTAACGCAGCCTAAGTTTAGTGTGTGTGTTCATAACACTATTGACTCAGAACTTTAATGGACCAGAGTTCCCTAGGTATTTTCGTAGTTGTCACTGTTCTGTCACATCTTCCTTCCATTTCTCCCCACCAGCTCCAATTCCCTTCTGCAGAGATGATCAGAATTGGCATTTGCTTGTGGATATTTCTAGAAAGATTCTTTCTCTCTCTCTCTTTTTTTTTTTGATGAGGAAGACTGGCCCTGAGCTAACATCTGTTGCCAATCTTCCTCTTTTTGCTTGAGGAAGATTGTCACTGAGCTAACATCCACGCCAATCTTCCTCTACTTTGTGTGTGGGATGCTGCGACAGCACGGCTTGATGAGCGGTGTGTAGGTCCGTGCCGGGGATCTGAACTCATGAGCTCCAGGCTGCCAAAGCAGGGTGTGCAAACTTAACTGCTACACCACCTGGCTGGCCCCAAGAGATTCTCTTTTTATGTAGGTACAAATGGTACTAGACACATGGTTAGGCACCTTACTTTTTTTTACTACCTATATCTTGGAGAGTTGTCCATATCAGTACATAAAAAGCTTCCTCACTTCTTTCTAAGACTACATAGTGTTCTATGGTATAGATGTCTCCTATTTGTTTAACTAGTCACGTGTCAATGAATACTCATGTAGTACCTAATGTTTTGCTATATTGTAATTGAATAACTTCACATATACCTCATTTTCCATGTTTAGTAATCTATCCCACAGATATATTCTTAGGACTGGAATTGCAGGGTCAAAGGTTATGTGCATATTAAATTTTGTTAGATATTTATGCCACAATTATACCTAGTCACACTTCATCCAGCAATGTATGAGCGTGCCTGTTTGGGGGAATTTCTGAGTTTATTTGTTAATCTTAATTGCAGTAGGTAGAAGTAACCAATTGATTTTTAATTTTACAAAATTTGTCTAGAGTTGAATGAATTAAGCTCAAGCCAGAGGTTCTCCACCCTGACGGTAATTAATCATTGTAGTTCTGAGAGGCAGTTTGATATCATGCATATGCAAATCCATATCATAGTTAGCAGCATCGTAATAGAAATCAATTGGTTTTAACAACACAAACCTTTGAATGGTTTCATTATTCAACGCAGACAATTTAATTGGGAAGCTAAATTGAATGCCTTAATCATATTATTTACAAATGTTTTTGTTAAAAGTAATTGTGAAGGTATCATTATTCATTTGTTGCATTAGTAAGACTGAATCTAAAGATTTGTTAATTAAAAAATTTTTTTAAATGATTCCCATCACTGTTTCCATGAAGGCTCGACCTCATTTGCAAATGTAATTTCCTCTGTGGAGGTCAGCCCTGATCTTTCTCGCAGGGAGCTCCTTGTTTCTTGTTCTGTGTGTCAGTGTGGTCTGACAGCAGTCCCCAGGTCCTGCCCAATGATACTGATGTCACATTACTTCAGGGTATCCTTGAGGTAGCCATGCAACCAGACTCCACTCTGGCCGCTTCCTCCTGAAAGCACTACAGGTAATTGCATTTGCGGACTGAGAGCATCTGTTTCCAGGGGATCAGCTCAGTGCCCCTGAATCCTGAAGTGCTTAATCAGAGCACTGGGGGAGCGGCCATCCCCAAGGACTCGTCACTGGCTCCTGAGCCCTGCATTTCATACAAGAAACAGTTCCCTGGGCTGAAACGTGTCCAGAAAAGAAGTCTGACCTGCTGCCATGTGCCACTGTAGTCTATGATCACAAACAAATTTTCTCATTTTTATTAGACGTAAGTGTTGGTACTTAGAATTTGTTAGAGGACCGTTTGGGCCCTTGTCTCTATGGCAATGAGACAACCGTCTGATAATGGGGTGGAAAAAATTCCTCATAGCTGAAATATTTTAATTGTGAGTATCTGTCTCCTGGTGTAAGCTGCCCGTTGACTAGTTGACTCCAAACTGATGTAAGGGCTCAAGCATCTGTTATATTTTTTGTGTATTTTGAGGACCTTTTGTAAATACTTGGTTAAAAACATCTCTAGAGGGCCGGCCCTGCGGCCTAGTGGTTAAGTTTGGTGCATTCGGCTTTGGTGGCCCGGGTTCAGTTCCCAGGTGCAGACCTACACCACTCATCAGCGGCCATGCTGTGGCAGTGACCCACATACAAAATAGAGGAAGACTGGTGCGGATGTTAGCTCAGGGCGAATCTTCCTCAACAAAAAGAACAAAAACAAAAAAATCACTCTATTGGTCATGGTAACTCCTCTCTTTTGCGTTAGGGGGTTTCTTTCTATATAAAAATTGATATATAATATTCTATAGGATTTTAGAACACTAAAAGGGGATTCAAGTTAACCTGTATCATCGAATTTAGGACGTTAATTTTCTATCCACACATTAAATTGCAGTTTCTAAGTAAAATATGGGCCCAATTTATTATCACCAGTGCTGATACTGGTTACTCTAATTGAGCAGCTATTGTATTACTATCTGAAAAGAAATCTGTAAAGTGTAAAAATATTGTATTTGTGATAAAGTGTTCTTGACTCTTTACTTTAAGGGCCATCATTTAATTAGCGGCAGGAGTGGGGCTTCTCTGCAAAGAGGATTAGTTTGGAAAAGGAACGGGGAAATGAAACCAGGACCCTGAAAAGGAAAGCATTTCACAGAATAGGTGCCATAATTAGTTTAGTTATTACATCTCTGAAAAGGGCAGCCTTCTAACTACCTATCCACTGGATGACTTTGCTTTCAAATTGATGCCTGAGGCTTCCTTGATGTAAAAAAATCACCATAAAAAAAAAAGTAAGATATTCTCTTTTCTACAAAAAGTAGGAAGTAGCATTTCAAGTATCATTTTTCCTGTCTCCAAGCTGTTGGTGGAGAGAAATTCCTTTTAAAGTCCAGTTCTAATGCAAAATGGATGATTGCAACTGGCCAGTTTATATGTAGAATCTGTTATTCAAAGAAATTGTTCCTTTTTAGTTATTTTTGCCCCTAACATACTATTTTTAATAAAAAACAAAATATTTTTGCCAGTTAACTAGGCCACAATACTATAGCAGTGGTTAACAAACTGCTTAATCTTATTTGATGTGAATTCATGTATTTTGGAACTTGATGTTAACGTGTGTTTTTTTAAAATGAATTTTGAAGATGGCCCTTTTATGACTCTTTGGACCATTCTAGATTTTTCAAATAGATGCAGGTGCTAGGGAACCTTCTCAATGCCCTTCATTATTTTTATGAACCTAAACCTATGTATTATATTCATTAAAATTATTATTCTCGGTGTGGTACTTTGTCTCCCTCTGCTTTCCATCCTCCCACCCACAAAATGGCTAGTTGTTTCATCTCCTTTCTTTAGGTTTTATCAGTATTAGTCTTGTCTTGATAAGACATGGGGATACATAGTCAATGAATATTGAAAGAAAGATCTGATCTGATTCTCCTTTAAGCTGTGATGTCTTTATGAGAATGCTACTCTATTATTTAGAATAGTATTAAGGAGACATCTTTTGTCAAATAATTTTTAGTTCCTAGTTAGGACTCTGAGGATTTACGGTTTATTCAAAATCAATATCCATGTATACCAAGCTCAAGAACAGAGAGTTCTGTAAATAAATGCTACCTGTGGATTGAATCTGCTAGCATGTTAGCCAACAATTTGTTTTTATTAACTCTTTCTAGAGGTCCACATAGAAAAGTCTTGTATACGTCAGTTTCCTTCTTTTTTTAATATCCCTTTTCTCTTTTAGACACCTAAATTTACCTGACGTAGCCTTTACAATCTCATAACTTTATGAAGAGACTATAGGAAACTTAGAGTTAAAAATGGAATGAGTGCTTAACTCTTAACTCGTTGAAGTCATTAGTAAGCAAAGCAAATGAAAGGCGAATGCAGGTGTCCCTCATTGGCTGCTAATGTTATTGTCTTCACTTTCTGTAATTATTTTAGGACTTGCTCAGTGCTGTCCAGGCGAAAGAAGCTCTTGAAAGGGAAGTTAAGATTTTCCAAGAAAGGCTGCTTGCTGGCCAGCGGGTCTGGGAGGCCTCGAAGCAGGAGCTGAGCCTGTTGAAGAAAAGCTCTTGCGAGTTGGAGAAGAGTTTGAGGGCCAGTCTGGATGCGGCCGCAGCCTCAAAAAGCCAACACTCCTCATTTAGGGAGAAAATTGCAGCCCTCCTTAGGGGCAGCGTGGGCTTGGTGAGGTCCACCGAGGATGCCATTTTGGAGGGGATTCAAGAAATGGGCAGCCAGGAAGAGAGCAGGAAGAGGGTGAGTGGGTGATGGCGGCTTATAAGCTTATTAAGGACAAACTCATTCATTTAGCATACTCAATAAATGAGTTATCCGAATTAGCTAAAAGTATCATTTAAATGTGGGTTTATTACTTTCAATTATATATCATACTTACCATCCTGGCCAGTCACTCGGTGATAGCTAACTACGATGGGGGTTCTGGAGTCAGAGTGACCCCATGCTGAATCTTGTCTCTACTGCAAACCCACTCACTCCAGGTATGACCTTGGGCTGAGCCCCTGAGATTCCAGTCTCAGATCTAGTTTCCTTACCTGCTGTTCAAGCCGAGGGTCCACACCCCTTATCTGAAACCCTTGGGGCCCGATGTGTTTTTCAATTCGGAATATTTCAGGGTATAGAAAGATAAAATAGTACACAGAAAGATAATAGAGAAAGCAATGTTACACAGTCTTCTTCAGTGGGGTCTGGGGCAACATCCCATAATCAACCACGTTCATCATTCTGCAGCAAAACCCAGGAGCACCCTACCACCTGGGGTTCAGCAAGACTGTGAATAGCCTCAGGTCACTTCAGGTAAGGGTTTGCTGCCCATGTGGTCAGGTCAAGCTCTATCCGCAAATGAATTACGGAAAAACTGTCAGTTTTCAGATCCTTTTGGATTTTGGAATTGCAGATAAGGGTTCCTAGACGTGTAACAGTATCTGCCTCATAAGGTTATTGCTTGTTGTAAGCATTAAATAAAAAAAAATAGTCATGAAGTCCTTAATACACTGTCCAACAAATAACAACAATGAATATTAACTGTTGCCCTTTCTTGTCCTCTCTCTCCTCCTCTCTCCTTCTCCTGTTCATAGTGCGTTGGTGCCTAGAACAATCTTTGAGGGGACCCACTTAAGTGGAGAAAAATTATTTAATTCACATATATGAGTGAAGCTTTTTACATTTTATCTTGTTTATACTATTAATAATTCTCATTTTCTATAAAGCTTTGCTTAGCAGAGTCATCTTCAGCCCGATTCTATTTAAATTATCACCAAATCCAAATTATTGAAGTCCTAATTAATGAGATTTTAGAGTAAATAATATCCAAACTCTATGTATAATTCCATGAGGAACTATTTCTTCTATTGAGTTCATGCTTTGCTCAAAAAGAGAAAATGCACTTTTCCATGTTTTAATGTTCCTAGGAAACTTAGAGCGATCACTAACTCAAAGTTCAGGGTTGCATTTGTAAATTTCCTTGAATGATAAAACATTTTAAATTCCCTCTAAAAATTCTCCAAAATTCACGTGTGCTGTAGGAGCAACACTGGTGACTCCTTAGTCCAAGGGTCGGATTCCCTTTGTGGATATAAAATGCCCATCCCTGTAACACGTGTGGGTCTCTGAGAGTAACTGTTTTTTGTGTGATTCAGTACACATATAGGTGCTGGATTGGGGAAGGAAATTATTTACAGGACTGAGAAAAACTCCACCAAATTATTTACCTTGACTAGTAATAGATATTCAATAGCTAATGGTTCTTTGCCATTTCATTTTGTTGCTTCCTTCTTCTATTTCTCCAAATGTTTTCCTAAAACTATTTTCCTTCCAGCTTGTGAAACACAGCATAAAACTGTCAGCATGATGTATATGTTTATTTTCTAAAGCAAAATGATGTAAATTGGTTAAGCTGGATATGCCTTCCCCCACTCCCCATAAAAATTGGAATGATTCAGAGTCTTTTTAGTGCCTTTGTCTGCCTCTGCTACCCCGTAATTTTTTTCAATAGCTGCTCTCACTATTTAAAAGCCTGAAATCAAGCACATAGCTGGCGTCTTGGGTGACTCATCTTCAAGTAAATGAGGAGAAAATGGATTTCATATATTGTCTTAGAAATGTTTCTGAAGAATGGGAGCTTTACAAATTGATGAGTCTGTTTGTTGAGGAGACTACATCCTCCTGCCAGCTGCCATGGTTAAACACAGTCAACAGTTGAGTAATACCCACATGAAGTCCCAATGGTGGGCTCAGGCTGAGCCTGGCAAATTCTCCACTGCACTTGTCGGCTCCTACCTCCTGAATGTTGCTTTTCTTATTTACCCCTTTGTTATTCATTTTCACTCTCCTGTATTTGCAATTCTCTGTAGAATTCAGGACACCACCCACACTTTTTTAGTAAAAGTCATTTCTACTTGTTTCTTGCTTTTCTGCTTATAGCAAAATCTGATTTTCTTTTTGAAAGCTTTACTATATTTCAGAGCAGAGTTTCTCAGCCTTGGCACCTTTGACATTTTGGGCTGGCTAATCCTTTGTTGTGGGGGCTGTTCTGTGCATTGCAGGATGTTTAGAAGCATCTCTGGCTTCTACCCACTAGATACCAATGGCAGCCCTCTCTTCCCAATTTGTGACAACCAAAGGTTTCTCCAGACATTGCCAAATGTCTCTGGGGGCCCAAATCACCCCCAGTTGAAAACCACTCTCAGAGGGATGTTCTACTGTCGGGATCCCAGGAAATCTAAATGAGTATTTAGATGTTATTTAGCCTTGAAATTTTAGGACATGCATAACATGTATTTTTGAAATAATGGCTTCTCACACAACGACAGAAAGTTATGACATTTTAGTTTAGAATTTTGAGGCAAAATTTTTTTCTTACTTTTAGATGTTTCCTAACTGGCTAATCATCTGGATGAGAATGGATTATGTACAGAGAGGACATGACCGTGATTGATTTCTATGTCATCTCCAAATTAAAGACAAATTAATACAAACTCACAACCATTTATCTAGACGGCTCTTTTGTTCACTTTAGGGCACACATAAGGTTATATTTCCTCCACAGGAGTGTTTCTGTGTCCAGTGGCTCTGTGGGAGCTGTGGGGGCCCAATCTGATGCCCTAAAGGACCTGAGATATGATCCATAACTCCCCGAATCCTCTTTCTGATCTCATCATTCTGCTCTGTTCTTCTTTTTTGCTGAGGAAGATTCACCCTGAGCTAACATCTGTGCCAATCTTCCTCTATTTTTTTTGTATGTGGGCCACCATTTCAGCATGGCTGCTAACAGAGCAGTGTAGGTCCATGCCCAGGAACAGAACCCGGGCCACTGAAGCGGAACACACTGAATTTAACGAATAGGCCACTGGGACCAGCTCTCTGCTTTGTTCTTAATCCTCCAGTATACTCAACCAAACGTTTACCCAGAAGCTTCAGCAGACTTCCACTGACATTTCGTTGTCCAAAATTATGTTACACAGTCACCCCTGGCTACAAGGGCATCTGGGAGAGAGAACACAGAGATATTAGCATTCTCAGCCTCTATAGTGTGTTACTTTCCTAGGATGTTCATAACAAAGTACCACAGACTGGATGGCTTAAACAACAGAAATTTATTGTCTCACAGCTCTGGAGGCTAGAAGTCCAAAATCAAGGTGTCAGCAGGATTGTTTTTTGCTGAGGACTGTGAGGGAGAATCTGTTCCATACCTCTCACCTAGCTTCTAATAGCCTCAGGAATTTCTTGGCTTATGAATGGTGTCCTCTCTGTTTCTTCACATCATTTTCCTTCTATTTGTGTGTGTCTCTTTGTCCAAATTTCCCCTTTTGATGAGACACCAGTCATACTGTATTAAGGTCCACCCTAATGACTTCATTTTAACTGGATTGTCTCTGTAAAAACTCTATTCTTTCTGAGTCACATAAGGTTCCATTCTGAGGTACTAAGGGACTTCAACATGTCTCTTTTTGGTGGACCCAACTCAACCTATAAAAAAAGTTGACATGCACAAAGTGGGGGTGGGTAGGGTTAGCCAGTCAATAGTGTTGGCCACACGTACCAGTAAGAAGGAAGGAGAATTTGATTGATGTTATATTCCTGGTTCCTGATAACTTATTTCATATATTTCCTAAGTGAAAATTATAGCTGCAATAATCAGAAAAGCGTTGTTTATGTCCAAAAGGCACTGGTTCTTAACTGACCCAAGTAACTCTTTCTTCAGTTTATGGCTCTTGTGCTTCAATTTGATTTAATCTCAGGGCAAAAATGCCTCTCTGGCTAAATCAACAACTCCTTGTCCTGGGGAAATGAATTAATTCTTTTAGGGCATGATGACTTCACTTCCAAAAACCAAACTGCTTGTTTTGAAGTGTAGTTTACTTCAGTGCCTTTTTTGTTGAAAAAAATTGAGGTATATATTCTTTATTACAACCCGCCCTCCATTCCCTACATCTCTAGTGTGGAGATCGCTGGCACATTTTGTCCCACAGAATATCAGGGATATGTTAACAGATGATACTGAAGAAAAGAAGAAAAGAAAAGCTGTTGATTCTTTAGGCTTCTTGGTGTGAAAAACACAACACAACTTTATGGTTTTGGCGGGACACATATGTTCACCCAGGTACTGGCATTTGATGTTCCTAAGAACTGAGTCAGGTTGGAAGGTTAACTTATTTGAATAAACTTATGTAAGTTTAGCTCTGAAAAAACTTGGTGGTATCATATGCACTGAGGCCTAAATAAGCTTATGTAGCTTTGTTCTATGATGCATGGGATATGGGGAGATTCTCAGCTGTTTGCTCCTCTCTGGACACCAGAATCTTGGCAGGGCAGTTGGGTAGATTCTGCATAGTCCAGCCATCTACATATGGGGGGCTTTAAAGGTTCTACTCTGCTGAGTCTTCAGGTTCCATGGAACACTCTCGGGTCCACACAGGGTGAGGATGCAGGAGGGACCCACCCACCTTTGAGTCGAGCACATTTGTCCCGTATTTGTCCTTCTCAGAAAGACTTCCAGTTGAAAACAGGTTCTATGGGCTGAGACTAGTTTGAGAAACATGACATAGGACAATTCCCGGAAGGAGTCTTTTAATCTTTATGACAAACCATAGGATTGACTGAACCCACATACTGGAATAGTAATACCGGTGATAAAAATGGATGCAGTGTGCTGAACTTCATTGGGTATGAAACACTGCGCTACTCAAGTTATCTAAATTAGCTAACGTAACCATCATAGCAAAGTCTGTACGTCTCAGAGAGGCTCAGTACTTGTTTCAGTTAACATGCTGATAAGTGGTAGACTGGGGAACTTGAAACCAGGGCTGTCTGACTCCAGAGTCCCTGTCCCTCAGTCTGGTCTACCTCAGGATGTCTGCTTCATCCTTCAGGGTCATTATCACTCCCTTAGTCTATCTTCCTGCAGTTGCTTGCTGTGTCATTTCAAAATGGAGTCTTTACTGATGAATTTCCATGGAAGATTTTGCTTCCCTCTGGTAAGCTCTGCAACAGACTGGCTGTGGCTAAGAGATCACATAATTCTCCATCTCTCCACTTGAGGTTTTCTGCATCTATTTTCTCTTTGGTTTCATTCTCTTTGCTAGGTCAACGGGGTGATAGGAGATATGTTGAAGGATCCTCAGCTAGAAAGACTCACTTCCTACGGGGAGTCCAAGGTGAAACCACATCTCCCGCTGCACAGAAACGTGTGCCATTCCTTGTATCATATCGTTAAACAGCCACCCAGGAGGTAGTCTCTTGGGGAAGCTGTTTGATGGCCCCTGTTTTGTAGGTTACTTGTATGTTGCACCAAGCAAAGCACACTGTTTCTTGCATGAAGATCAGATCTATAATTAGTTAGTAAGTACTGAGGGTAGGAAATATGAAATGAGAGTTCTCAGAGCCTCATATTCTATAATGAAATTCAAAATTTCCTCAAGAAATATAATTCCTTGGATGTGGTGCTGAGCAGCTTGCCATCAAATATCTGATTTCAAGCACCCACAGAAAAAATAGAATTAATTGAATTATAGGCCTGGGACCTTGAGAGCCATAGAAGCACAGAATTAGAGGCTTTAGGGATCAAGTAGTTTAACCTTCCTGATTGTAGCACTTCAATCTTCCTCATAACCTTCTTAACAAATGATTGGCCAACTTCTGGCCATCTCCAGTGACTGGGAATCCACTATCTGACATGGGTTGATGCTTAAAATATAAGATAAAAACAAACATACAAAATCGCATGTGTAATACCATCTTAACTATATTTTAGCAATGCATACAAATAAATTATTTTAAAATATTAATTGTTGCTTCTGGGTAGTGAGATCATGGAGATTAGTTTTTGCTTATTTATACTTTTTTTTTTGTCTTTAATGAATCTCTTACAATGGGCATGTATTAGTTTGAAACTATGGGGACCAGGGGAAAATTCTTCCTTACAGTGAAGCGAAAGTCTTTCTATGATTTCTACCTGTTGGTCCTCAACTTAAGCTCTGCAGGTAACTCAGAACAACTTCTATTGTTCTTCTATGTAATAGCCTTTCAAAATACTTGAAGATAGCTGGAATGTCTTCTTGCCTTTAAGCATGGTTGTTTATAGATAGGCAAGCAGAATTTTTTTTTTTAACTGAGACTGTAAATCTGAAACCATCAAGATATTTCTATTTCTGTGAGAATGCTGTTATGCAAATAGCAACTACTTTTTTCCTTTCCTCTTCCAAAACAAAACAAATTTGTCACCTCAAACTTGGTGTTTCTATTGAATTCAACATTTTATGAAGACTAGATTTGGCAGAATTAATTTGAGTATTCTCAAAGTGTACCTGAGGTCTTTGGTGAACTTGTGTTCTTGGTTTAAGGGAAGGTCAGGACAAGGAGAGAAACTCCAAGGAAGGCTGGAAGCATTTGGCAAGTTATGGGGGTTGTGAAGAGTCTTGGGGCCTCTACTGGAGAAGCGGTGATTTTAAGCTATAGAAGAGGAGAGAGCAATCACGTTCTCCTGCCTTTTTGTCCATTGCCATTGATCCTATTTCAAGTCACTGTAATAAAGGAATTTTGACCTTTCAAATGCTAAAATGATAACACTACTACGTAACTATGCAGCACAGAGGCGGAACCACTGAAGTTGAGTGCGTGAGTACCCAATACGCAATAGAAAATTGAAAAAAAGCTTTAAAAATATCTTGATGTGCTTGAATTCCTGATAACGCCTCAAACTTACTTGTCAAGATTAACTCGTTATATAATCTTTAATCCACTGTGTGTGGTGGAAGGGTTCTTCTGGAGAACGACACTTCTGTAGGTTTTAAAAGTACTTTCTGTCTCTCTTTCCAACTAAGCTTTGAAACTCCTAAATTAATGGCAGTTTTAGGGGTAAGTAAATGTCATCCATAATAATTATCGAGTAACCTGTTTAAGGAATTACATAAAAATTAAAAATACCAATCGAAAGTGCTTTATTAGAAAGTGAATGCAGGTTTATTTCCAGCAGAGGCAAATACAGCTACCAATTACCTGTTTTTTATTTAATTTTTTCAAAGAATCTGGAAGTTGGTGTCAATAAATAGTTACGTTGCTTGGGCTGAGCACTGAATTTTAACACTTTGTTGCATCTGAAACAAAGCTTATCCTTGTTCTGTTTCTTTGTTTCCAGATGGTCTCCCAGCTTGAAGCCCAAATATCCGAGCTTGTTGAACAGTTGGGAAATGAGTCTGGGTTTCACCAGAAGGCTCTACAGAGAGCCCAGAAAGCAGAAAACAAGTTGGAAGCTCTTCAGAGTCAGCTGACACACTTGGAGGGAGAGCTGGTGTCTGGAGATGTTTTGAGAGACAACTTGAATTTTGAGAAACAAAAAGTAATGACCTGAGGACATGTCCATGGGTGGAAGCATCTGTTGCAGTATTAAAGTTTACCTGAAAATATTCTGAATTTTACGGTACTTTGGTAGATTGGTTCAGTTTCGAGTCATATGTAAATTTCAAGGAACGGTGGATATTTTGGGGGATCTCTTCCTATTGTTTGAAGCTTCCTTGATTCAAATTTAAATTCAATTAAACCGGACAGGTATTTACTGAGCACGTTATATATGAGACTCTGAAGGTTTGGGGGCTAAAGTATGAATAACACACAGTTCTTGATCTTAAAAGGCTCATAATTCAATAAAGAAGACAGACGTTCAAATAATTTGCTGTACTATAAGACAATGTGTTATAAGAGATGTATTGATTAATAAAGTGCTATAAAAGCCTAGTGAAAGGAATTAAAACTTCTGGATAAGGGGAGATTTAAAAGGAAGGAGATCATTAAGTTCATCTTTGAAAGATAAGTAAGATTTTAGTGGAGAGAAGGGGCAGACACTGTAGGGGAAACAGTTTGAGCAAAAGCTTGCAAGTGCACAGTATGTTTAGTGAATGCAGAGTGGTTATTCCCATATGGCTTGAACGTGGCATTCTTGGTGGAGAGAAGACTGGAATGGCTTGGATTATGAAGATTGAATATTCTTTTTTTTTTTAATTGATGTTTTAATAGTTTATAACATTGTGAAATTTTGGGTTGTACATTTTTGTTTGTCCATTACCATATATATCTCCCTTCACCCCTTGTGCCTACCCCTTACCCCCATTGCCCCTGGTAACCACAGTACAGTTTTCTCTGTCCATGTGTTGGTTTATATTCCACATATGAGTGAGATCATAAAGTGTTTATCTTTCTCTTTCTGGCTTATTTCACTTAACATAATACCCTCCAGGCCCATCCATGTTGTTGCAAATGGGACGATTTTGTCTTTTTTATGGCTGAGTAGTATTCCATTGTATATATATACCACATCTTCTTGATCCAATCATCAGTCGAGGGACACTTAGGTTGCTTCCACTTCTTGGCTATAGTGAATAAAGCTGCAATGAACATAGGGGTGCATAAGCCTCTTTGGATTGTTGATTTCAGGTTCATTGGATAGATTCCCAATAGTGGGATAGCTGGATCATAGGATATTTCTATTTTTAATTCTTTGAGGAATCTCCATACCGTTTTCCATAGAGGCTGCACCAGTTTGCATTCCTACCAGCTGTGTATGAGGGTTCCTGTTTCTCCACAGCCTCTCCAACATTTGTTGTTTTTTGTCTTGGTGATTATAGCCATTCTAACGGTCGTGAGTTGGTATCTTAGTGTTGTTTTGATTTGCATTTCCCTGATGATTAGTGATGTTGAACATCTTTTCATGTGCCTGTTGGCCATCTGTATATCTTCTTTGGAAAAATGTCTGTTCATTTCCTCTGTCCATTTTTTGATCGGGTTGTTTGTTTTTTTGTTGTTCAGTTGTGTGAGTTCTTTATATATTATGGAGATCAACCCCTTATCAGATATATGTTTTGCAAATATTTTCTCCCAGCTGGTGGGTTATCTGTTCATTTTGATTCTGGTTTCATTTGTCTTGTAGAAGCTCTTTAATCCGATAAAGTCCCACATGCTTATTTTTTCTTTAGTTTCCCTAGTCCGGGTAGGCATGTCATCCGAAAAGATTCCTTTAAAACCAATGTCAAATAGTGTGTTGCCTATATTTTCTTCTATGAGTTTTCTGGTTTCAGGTTGAAGATTGAGTATTCTTTATTCTGTAGAATATGAAATGTAACAATTGATTTTGCACATCCCAATATTTTAGAAAGATAATGTGATGTCACTGTGGAGCTGAGATTGCAGTATGGAGAAAGTCAAGAATGATATTGGCGATAACCTGGAAGGAGATTAGAAGGGGTCCACACTTATGATCTGACTATGGGAAGATAATCCATGACCTCCGAGAGGCAGTTTTAGTAGAGTGGTGGAGAAGAGGAGCCAGTTTGCACTGGGCTGAGGGGCGACTAGTAAGAGAAGAATTAGAGACTTAGAAGTAGACTAGTACAAAGTCCAGTGACCAAAGAGAAAAGAGGCATGAAGCAGAAACACTGAAAAACAGGATCAAAGAAAGGTTTTATTGGACAGAAAGGGAAGATACATGTTTGTGGGTCACAGGAGTCCTTAGGAGAAGAGAGACAAATGGTTTCAACAGTATAGGTGCAGAATTTGGCTTGAAAAATGCTCTTAGGTTGAAAAATGTGTACTCTGGAACCTTGTTCATTTTCACTCTTTTGTACTTAAAAAAATTGAGGAAGCATCATGCCTGCATGGAGGGTTGAATATGCAAAGATGCATAAGAAGTGTCTGTGGGAAATCCTAGTCTAGTGGATGAGACAGGGAACTCAGGACACAATTAGTACAATTAGTGCTATAATAGAGATAGATATAACATTTGACAGAAACTTGGATAAAGGAGTAATTAATTACTTCTCTCCTATTTCTGTGTGTGGGGAAATGAGTCCTCTTCACACATGAGGTGACATTCGAGAGGGGCTTTAAAGAATGAGTAGGAATTTGTCAGGTAGGAGAGGTGGGGAAGAGATTCAGGGTAGAGGGAACAGCAGGGAGGATGAAGGAATGGAGCTGTGACAGGACTACTCAGGAGATGAATGAGGCACGGGGAGACTGGAACACGGTGCCTGGTGAGGCCAGAGGCATGAGGTGGCTCTGGAGGCAGGTAGGAAAAATTGAGATAGGGCAGGCTAATTACTCGGGGCTTTATTCTATAGGTAATGGGAAGCCGTAGAAGGTTTTCGAGTAGAAGAAAGGTTTCTCTGAAGGCAGACTGGCTCTGAGGGTCTAGAGACCAAAGGTCGGGAGAATCCAGTGGGGGGATTCTTAGAATAGTCCAGATCAGAAGATAATAAGGGTCTGAACCAAGTAGTGGTTTTGTGAATGAAGATAAGGGATAGAATTGAGAAATTTGGGAGAGTGAAGGGAATTTTGCTATCAGATAGCTGAAAAAGGTATGTTGGTTGAAATTTTGAGTTTGAAAGGAAATATCGCACCTGAGTGTAACATGTTAAATTGGAAGAACTACGACTGTCTGCTGAACATCATTCCACCCAGATGTTCCACGAACGCCTTGCACTAGACATATTCAAAATGGAAATGATTACCTCTCCTCAAATTTGCCCCCTCTTGCCTCAGTGATGACGAGATAATTTGCCTCCAGTTGTTCAAGCCAAAAGCGCAAGAATTGCCCTCCATGTTCCCTCTTTTAAAACAATTCCTAAGCACTGTAAATTCCATCTCCTTAATATCCCTCAAATACCATCCCCATCTCTGTATTTAGCAGCTGTGCTTTGGTTCAGAGCATTATGATAATTTGCATGGACTACTGAAACAACCTTCTAACTGATCGTCCCACTGCCACCAGGGAGGTCTTAATAAAATGCATGTCTAATCTTATTTTTCTCCATCTTAAAACTGGTCAGGGGCTCTCTATGGCCCTCAGGATCAGCTACAGATTCCTTCTTTCCATGGCTGAGTATTCCATGACCCGGCCAGTTCCCCCACCAGGCTCCCCCTCACCTGCAATCTCTCCAGCCAATGCTGGCAAACTCAGAAGCCTCCTGGGGCCAGCAGGGCCCCGGTCAGGTGTGTGGGGAGTGATGGCTGAGTCCAAAGACATCCATATTCAAATTTGTAAAAAATTGGCCAGTTGCCTGGCCAAAGAAAAGAGGGCCCCCTTGACATCACATATCGCACATTGCTATACTCGCTGAGAAAATGTTCTCCTTACCTTCTTCACCTCGTAATAACTGTACCTTGAAGACTCAGCTCCAAAATCACTTCCTCTGGAAGTCTTCCCTAAGAACCTTAGTTCTCCTTCATGCAACATGTGCCTGCTTCTGTCACCGCACTTATCACCCTTATTGTACTGATTTTTTTTTTTTGCTGAGGAAGATTCACCCTGAGCTAACATCTGGGCCAGTCTTCCTCTGTTTTGTATGTGGGTCATTGCCACAACATGGCTGATGAGTGGTGTAGGTCTGCATCTGGGATCTGAACCTGCTAACCCGGGCCGCTGAAGCGGAGAGTGCTGATCTTAATTAATTTTAATTGAGATTATGCCATAATAGCTCTCAGTTATGAAAGCAAATTTGTAAACTGATTCTGTCCATGGTGAATTTTTTATATATAACTGCCTATGAAAGGCGTGTCCTAATAAGGATCATAGGTATGTAAAATTGAAAAGCAAAGTTGTACAGAGTTTAAATTTAAATAGAGGTAATTGAGGTTTACACAAAATAGTATGGAATCTTTTCATGCTATCCAGGTGCCCATTCCAAAAAAAAAAAAAAAAAAAAAAAAAAGGAACGTGTTCATGCTAAACTGTGATTCAAATGAACAAAATATACAGTAATCCTTCCAGCAACCTAGACTTTCTGAGGCGTCACCAAGATCCTTGAAATAGGCACTTCCTCTGTGGGGTCTTGACTTGGTCCTGTCTTAATCCTTTTTGCCTGTTGTAGATCTTTGCATCTACTTAGCAGTAGACGGGCCACATGTAGAAATAGAAAAAGAGGTTTTTGTACCTTTATGTGGAAGGTACCGACTCTATTTTATTTAAAATACAAACAATAGCAATTATTTCACTTTTATTCACACAGGTTAGAAATGAAAAATTCCAAGGGGAGAGCAGATACAGCATTAAGAGGTGACAAACTGATGATGCAGAGACAAAGCAACTTATGTTCTTGTAGCACAATAAAATAAGGGATATTTGTAATGACTGTGAATTATAAAGAAGAGACTCAATTTTATATATGCTATTTAACAAAATTGGAAAATATACACTTACAAATAATTTCATCCTGATGACTAAAATATAGATAGTTCCGGGCTTCAGGCTGGCATGCTTCAGTCATCAGGAAATTATACTTATTTAAACATATAATTGCCTGAAAATGCCAAATGGGTGAGGAGTTATTGCAATGAGAGGAAAATTTCAAAGACAGAAGACAAATCATGAAATTATGACATAGAAATCTTGTTGATTGATTTACTTGTCCAGAAAGCACTTAGTGAGCATTATTCTATGTCTGGGCATGGCAGGTAAGCCACGGAAATCAAGTGGAGGAAGATTCTAGAACAGTTTTGTAACTTGAACCTGTTAAAATATGAACCTTGACTTCCTTGATATGATTCTGTTTTACAATGTTGTTCCTTTAACTTCGATACGTTAGGAACTCTTAAAGACATTTTCTAAAGCATTTTAACTTAAAAAACCAAAAACGTGGTCTATGTTTGTGTGGAGAGCTTTAATTTTGGAGTGATCTGTAGACGGCGAGAAGAGTAAGGTGGTAACTGGTTAAGTCATCATTTTTCACCTTTGAGGCCAGGGCCAACTTAGGTGGGAAAAATTGCCCCAGAAAGTATATGGATGAGCAGATCCCTGGGGCTGGATTGGCCTGGAAGGGGCATGGTGGCCACAGCAAGTAGCCAAAACAGAATGATGCAGAGGATATATACATGCTACACCGTCAGGAGCATGCCAAATTTGTCCTATGACAGAGTTAAGAAGAGTGTAGTATAATATTAGATTGAACATCAAGGTCACTGAACAGGAAAGTCAAGAGAATTTGGAAGGGGAACAGGGCATGGAACTGGCAGGGAGGTTCAGGAACTCATCACCGAGGTCAGGGGCTGGGCTGCGTCCTGGGTTCAATGAGAGCTTCCAGTAAGCTTGGGAGAAAGAGGATTCTGTGAGATCACCTGCTAACTTTACTCTTCTGTCCCTTTTTCATTTCTGTTCTTGCGTTTAGTATCTTAAATTTCTGGATCAGCTCTCAGAAAAAATGAAATTGGACCAGATGACTGCTGAACTTGGCTTTGATATGCGTCTGGATGTAGTTTTAGCTCGTATGGAGCAGCTGGTCCGCCTCGAGAGCAACGCAGTCATTGAAAACAAGACCATCGCCCACAATTTACAGAGAAAGGTAGGGGATATTAAAACGTGCCAGTGTTGAGAGAAGAAATTTCTGATAAATTTAAATATTGAAAAATAATTTACCCCCACCATATTTACCAATGTGGCTAGGAAACGTGTTATAAAAATACGTATTTAGAGTCTGAGTCTCTATTTCAGGTCTGAAGGGATGATAAGTGTATCACCTAAGGTTATGTTTGACTCTGGGGAATAAAGACCCAAAGTAACAGTGGCTTAAACAAGTTGAAATGTTTTGTTTTTTCTTTTCTCACATAAATTTCTGGAGGTAGGCAGCTTAAGGTGAGCATGGCAGCTCTGCTCTGTAAAGTTTTTAGAGAAAAAGGCTCATTTCAGTCATTAATCTCCCATCCCTAGGGTGGTCCTTATCCTCATGGTCCAAAATGGTGCCTAGAACCATTATATTTGCGTCCCAGGCGGAAGATTGGAGAAGAAAGGGATGAAGAAGAGGGATGCAAAAGAGCATGTGCAAGCTGTCTTATAAAGAAAGCTCCCGGAATTTATTATGTGAACTTGTGTTTCTATCCCACAGCCAAAACACGTTCTTTTTTTTTTTTCCGAGGAAGATCAGGCCTGTGCTAACATCTGCCAATCCTCCTTTTTTTACCGAGGAAGACCGGCCCTGGGCTAACATCTGTGCCCATCTTCTTCTATTTTATATGGGACGCCCCCACAGCATGGCTTGACAAGCAGCATGTTGGTGCGTGCCCGGGATCCGAACCTGCGAACCCTCGGGCCACCAAAGCTGAGTGCGTGCACTTAACTGCTGTGCCACTGGGCCGGCCCCCAAAACACGTTCTGATGGCTAAACCTAGCTGCAAGGGAGGCTTGAAACTGCAGTCTTTACTCTGGGTAGCCATTTGCCTAGCTGAAAAATTCACTGTTTCTGTTACTACGGGAGAAGAGGAAAACTGGGAACATCCAGCAGTCTCTGCCTTTATAAGCTCAATTGCATTAGAAAGTAGAGAGAGGAGAAGAGCTTACTTTTTGCTCGCTCAAAGGAAGAGTTAGAAACAGTTTAGACTAAATAAATGAATGAATGGATGAAAAGGATAAAAATATAATTATTAGTTATATAATTATTGGTATTGGGGAAAGAAAGAGGAAAACACAGATGTGTTCTTATAATAGTTCTTAGGAGAAAATTGTATGGTAGAATTATAGTGTGAAGGCTGTGTAATGATTCACATCTGGGTTCCCAATTTGGCTCCACCAAGCTGTGTGACCTTCGGCAAAGTGCATACTTCTCTGTCTCCGGTTTCTCGTATATAAGATGGGGATGATATCTACCTTGCGGGGTTGTTATTTTTCAGTAAATAACACTTTTGAACTCTTAGAACATCATAGAAGATGTTCTATTCACATTTGACCTCTTCTTCATTTACTTTGGGAATATTTTATAAAAGAAAGCAGACAACCCCTGTTACCATCAGAGTCATTAAATTGAGCTGTAATTCTTTCTGAAGGTCTCCTCAGATAATTGATTTTTTCCTCCATATTGAACACCATTCCTTCTTAGCTATTGTGTAATTATTAAAATTACCAATGTACAGAACTTACCAGTATAAATTTGCAGTAGAGTGGAATTTGACATGAAGAAGCTCGAGGAAGGGAGTTTAGTTAGAGACATATTAAAAGGGCCTTGTTAAAAATGGATCTGGGTATGGACATTGCTGTCACCATTAAGCAAGATACTTAAGCCCTAATTTCACTAAGTCCTTCACACCTCCGAACACTTTACAAATGCAGAGTACATAATTAGGGAAAATGTGACGGTCTTCAGTGCTAACATTCTATAATTCTATGTGATTCCGATTCCCAAGGTTTGTAACAGATGAAAGAGGTTTCTGTACTTAATATTCCACTCAATAATTGTCACATGTGAAACCCAGGAAGATTTTTTTCCCTCCTCGAGTCTATAATCTTTTGCTAAAAACCACAATAATTTCCTTCATCAGGTTTGATTGTCAATGGTAAGTGCTGTTTGAAGACCTTGTTTTCTGCTTGGTTTGTGGATGGTATAGGCCAGGTGTATAATAAAGACGCCAGTGATCTAGAACCTTCTTGAAGTCTCTTCTATTTCTAAGATTTTACACATACAAACAAAGCTTTCTTAAAAATCTCCTTGGTATAGCTTACTTTAAAAATGTGTCAACTCTGATGCTTGGTGCCACTCAGTCTGGTTCTAAGGGATTGAAATTAGCCAGTCTAGATTTTTGATGCTAATTTTCACTCTATCTTTTTTCAGAAAAGACCAGTGCAAGCATAGTTGCCATGAGGTGTTGGAGAGGATTTTGTCTCTCTGTCTTATTATGTTCTGCTCTTGATAAGCCCATTTCAGTAGTTTTAAAAGTAATTTTACATTTTTATTATAATGCAGGAATTATTGGAGAGAATCAGATGTTGAAAGCCTACTTCTCTGTGCATTTTCTGTGGCTCTTTTGTTGCACGCTTTGCAGCTACAAAATTAATTCTTGGAAACACAGGAATAAAAAATGCAATCAGGAAAAGGAATCCAATAACCTTTTTTGATGGTTTCCAAATTAGTCTTATTTTAGTCTAGATAAAGATCAACATTATCTGAGAAACTCATTTATATTTACTGAGTGTTCAATTATTATTTTTTAAAAAAATCCCTGTTTGTATCAAACCAGCTAAAGACTCAGAAAGAAAGACTGGAGAGCAAAGAATTGCACATGAGCCTCCTCCGGCAGAAAATAGCCCAGCTGGAGGAAGAGAGGCAGGTGCGGACGGCCCTGGCCGTGGAGAGGGACGAGGCCAATCTTACCGTAAGGAAGCTACAGAAGAAGGTGCAGAGGCTGCAGATGGATCTGAGCCTGTGTCGAGAATCAAACACTGAGCTCAAAGCCAAACTGGCTGACACCAGTGAGCTCAAGGCAAGTCCTCAGCTTTATTTCCTTGCTGGTTTTTGCTAGTTACCGTAAAAGTTTATGCAAAAGAGTGACAGCCTTATAATGCACACACCAGAACAAAAAAAAAATGAGCACTTCCTTCGACTTTCTAGAGTTGTGGGAGAAATGCAAGAATGACACACATCGGCATATTAGATCAATTTAGTGTCCTTTCCATATTTGAAATGCAGTCATGGTCGCCGTGTGAAAAGTCAGTCAAAAAAGGGTGATAAGTACAGAAAATAAAAACATTTCTTCAAACTGTGGGTCACTATGATATTAAGGATCATGTAGAGATTTCACATAGCAATTTGCTTGGGAAGAAATGAGAAAATGAACACAAGTGTTTACTAAGAAGAGTCAGGCAGGTAATTCTGTTTATGTGCTCTGTGGGGTGCACTATACCAAGTGGTGAAGTGGACAGCAGATTGGGGCAATGTGCTTCCTGGATTTGTACAATGGAATACTACTCAGCCATGAAAAAGACAAAATTGTGCCATTTGTGACAACATGGATGGATCTTGAGGGTATTATGCTAAGTGAAATAAGTCGAGCAGAGGAAGACAAATACTGCATGATTTCACTCATGTGTGGAAGATAAACAAACAAACACGTAGATAAGGGGAACAGATTAGTGGTTACCAGAGGGGAAGGGGTGGGGGAGAGCCAGAGGGGTAAATGGGCACATATGTATGGTGAGGGATAAAAACTAGACTGTTGGTGGTGAGTATGATGCAGTCTATACAGAAACTGAAATATAATAATGTACACCTGAGATTTACACAATGTTATAAGCCAATATGACCTCAGTAAAAAAGAAAGAACTTAAAAGAATTTAATCAAAATATTTAAATGTCATGTATGTGTGTCACTGGCAATAATATGTAACTTCATACGCAGGTATCATCCCCGGCAGATATGCATACCATGAATACAGATGATGGTAATGTCCTGGCTCTCTGCAGAGGACGTATCTGAAACAGATCTTTGGACTGTTTCTGGATCTGGAAACAGACCAGAAGGGAAAAAGAATCTGGAAGTTAAGCCAGCCCTTGAATACGTGTAGCGGGGACAATATTTTAGGAAATATTTCCCACTGTATTTTCCCTTCTGAGTCATTGGCTCTTTTCCCCCTGAAGTCTTTCTGCCATCAGGACCAGGCCACTAAATTGAGGCTTATTTCCCTAGAGGAGGGGAGAACAGACATGGCCCAGGGGAGGGGACATATTTGAACACAAAGAAGGGGGAAGCAAGGGAAAGCATCTGATGGGGTGCCATGGGTGGGGAGAAAATACCAAGGCAAGTATCCTTGACATCCCCCTCACACCTTGAGACTGACTGTTGGTGGGTGTGTGTGGTGGGGTGGGGGTAGAATCTCTGAAGTCAGCATGCAGCTGCCCCACCTTGGCTGGAAGGAGCTGCGGGAGGTGCTGAGGCAGGGAGCTAGATTGCACCCCAATTCCCTGCAGCCTGAAGTTCCATTTGCACTTGTGGGGGATGTGGAAGATAGCTAAAGATGCATGCCGGAGAGCTCATTGTGGGAGCAGGTAGAGTGGTCTCCTCAAGTGAGGGAGAAAGGGACTCGGCATCAGAGGCTCTGGGGTGCATCACCTAAGCTATGATCCAATGGCAGTTAAGCCAAGCCTTGAATTACCAATGACCAGGTCTTGACCTTGATCAGTGAACCCTCACAATTTCCCCAGTCAGATATCAGATGCAGGAAAGATTCAGGGGCAGCATGAGGATCAGAGTCACCTCTCCTAACACCCCAAGGATTTTCCTCCACCCAGACACCATCTCAGGAAGGAGGGGAGAGAAGAATCCCTAAAAGATTGAGCAGTGCAGGAATGAAAACACATTTTAAGCCAGAGGAAATACAATTAGTTACAAAATACCATCTGCTCTAATAGTTTGAGAAGATGGTGGTGGGAGTTGGTTTCTTATTTCCAAAAGACAACACAGCTTATCTTAAAGTTAACATGCTGGACCTTGCATTGGCTGTTCCTGACTCATAGGATGTATGGCCTGTTCATCTCCATGCTGGAGGCATGCATCCCCTGCTTTCCTTGCTTATGGGACCATAGGAGCACTGTTTTGTTAGAGAGATAAAGGACCCCTAAATACTTCCAAATAAGCCAGGAAGAAAAAGTTAAAGAAATGGAAACCAGTGTTAAGATAGCTAATAGTAGGGGAACGTCATGGAGCAAATAAAAAGGAACTTCGCCATCATAGCCAAGGTGTACTACAGACCTTTGAAAATGAAACATAGGTTTGTTTTCTATTTCATCAAATTTTTCTCTTCTCTTTATCATTTGTTTTTTTTCTACTTTATTTTTCTATTTCTTTTCTATCTTCCTGAGATGTCTATCAGTTCATGAATTTTTAGTCTTCCTTCTTTTCTAACCCATGTGTTTATGGCTATGAATTTTCCTCTAAGTATTGTTTTAGCTACATCCCAAAAGTTTTCATATGTAGTGGATTGTCATTTAATTTAAAATATTTTCTAATTTTCTTTGTGATTTTTTTTCTTTGATACACAGATTATTTAGAAGTACATTTCTAAATTTCCAAGTATTTGGAGATTTTGTAATTACCTTTGTTGAAGTAATTTGAGGTTTAAGATAATGTTCTCTTCCTCTAGAGAGGATTTTTATTTTTTATTTTCTTCTTCCAGATTCCAGAGGGCATTTTAGTCTCATAGCTCAGGACCATCTTAATCCAAATTTAAGCCTTGAGATATTTTGAGACTCTGTTGACATGAAGTGAAGTAACACACCAGAAGAGGGAGAGTTTTTTCCCCCCATTTTCCTTACTCTTAAGATATAGCCTTTCCCAACCCAAAATAGAAGTGACTTATCAAGGGTTCCACAAGAGGCAGGAACCAGGCTCCGACTCTTGTACTCCATCTCTGACAGGCTGACAAAATGCACCTGAGCCCCTCAGCCACCTCTTCCAGATTAGCAAGTGCTCCCACAGAACAAAGGACCCCAAAGACTTTGTACTCTTTTGAATTCCTAACCTCTCCCAGATGTTGGTGCAGTAGTTTTTGGTATCTTCTCAGCTCTTTGAATTTTTAATAAGATTCTTTTTTCTTGTTTTCCTCTTAAATTGTATTCAGTGGGAGAGTTAGTCTGAACTACCTGGTATCCCATTTTCAAGGCAGAAGAAGACACTGTAAGCATTGATTTGATTCAGAATTAGAAAAATACCCAGATTGATATGTGGAAAACTCTACTCCATAGATAACAAAAAAGTGACAGAGGAAGAAGATGGTGTTCATTTAAGTCTTAGGGGAGTGCTACTGGAAAGTTGGCTACCTTAGTTTTCCATGGCAGCAATCTCTAAATTTTTGTGAGTGTGCATTCCTCTTGGCAGACCACAGATCTATGGAACAAGTATTTCTCCAGTCCACTAGGTACATATCTGAAGCAAACATTTAATCTTTGATAAAGCCCCTCTTAAACCACTTAAAATTCCTCTGTTTGGGCTCAGTGGGTTTGATAAGGAAGGGAGGTCATCTTCCTGTGTTTCCAATGTGGCATTCCAACTATCAATTGACTGCAGGGACACCTCGGATTACTCCAGAAGCACTGCCTGAAGAACCCACCTACTATTATTGCTACACTAGTGCCCCTGGGCCTAGGAAGACTCTCTTCCACTCGTTGACTTCCTCTTGTTGGAGGAAAGATGAGAATGGCTCTCATAGTTGATGGGTACCAGTGCATAGAATAGGAATGATAAGTAAAGTGAGCTTGGATTTCAAAACAGGGAAGTAAATTCAGTCACAAAGAAAAGGACACATTCCATTGTAAAACTGTGTCAGTGGAATAGTCCAACTTCTTCAAAGAAATCTCTGATAGAGAGGCAGAGTAAATGGCACTGTGGATTTTTGTACACTGAGCTGTGCAGAACTCCACAAAGCCAGAGGGGAAGAGAATGATCTCGAGCAGTCTGGGTGATTCCTAAAGATAACTGAGTGGGAGTTATACTGAGTAAGCCTAATGCATATTGGCTTCCCAGAAGAAGGACCGGAATGAGATTTCCTAATAAGACTACCAGTGTGTTTCAGAAACAAGCCATGGTATTGATGGAAGATGCAACGTGAGTTCCTGGCTACCTATCCCCAATTCCCTCCACCCTATGGCTGGGGTGGAGGGAATTTAGTCCCGACCAACAAATTTACCCTTTCTCATATGATGGAATTATTCCTGTCATCAAAAGAAATTAAGAAGCTTAATTTAGAACGTCAGGATTTATTCAACCTTGCTGTTTATTTTACTGCTAACTCAGTTGTCTAATCTTCATTACTTCCATGACTGAGCCCCATTCTCCTTATTTGGGTTCCTACTTTGTTCTTTCTACTTCATTCATACCTTCATAATCTCAGAGACTTTTGGTTCCCTTGATAGTAGAGGTCTGCCTTATTTTTGTTAATTTTTCTCCAAGGAATTGAAATTCTGCCTCTGAATGAAGCTGGCTGGGCCCTATGATGGGCTGTCAGTACTCTGTGACATTGACTTGCAGTTTCCAGCCAGCTCTCTGCATGTTTCCAGATATTATAAAGCTAAAATATAATAATATAGTGAACAAATATACTATAAGGCATAATATAAATATTAGTTGCCATTATAACTAATTTGATCACTACTAAGAGTGGAAGGTGTAATGTGGGGCTGGTGGAGCCTTCAGAATTACCACAACTCGGGAGCCTAAATAAGATTGGCTGGCAGAAATGGAGCATGGCAGACCAAAGTCTAACAGCAGAGGTGGTCACGATGGAGCAAGGAGTGCCCAATCTGTGACGCCCAGGAATATTGTCCAGCATCCGCTGGATGAGAGTGAATAAGAACAGTTTTAGAAGTGGGGTGGCTCCTGGTGAGTGGCCGTGTGGGTGCCAGTTGTGGGTTTGGGTCTTAGGCAAGGCATCTTCTAGGCTAAGCGTATTACGAGTAGCGGTAGGATGTCTGGGCCAAGACAACTCTGAA